GCAGTTTTTTTTTAATTTTTAAATTTTATACCGATTAAAAAATGACGTATGTCATTTTTTAATTGAAAAACAACATATGTCAAACATTAATTGACAGAATCTAAAAATAACGCATAACATAAATACTATGCGCTTAGATAAATGCCTAAAATTGATTAATAAAATTTAATTTTTTGAATTTACATAAATACCTTTTTTTTCTTTACGCATCAATTAACATCAATTATGATGAAATATATTATTTACTTTATAATAAATTTATTATTTATTTTTACGTTCCAAAAACATTTAATGGTTCATGCTCAAGAACAATTAGCAAGATTATGAAGTACACAAAATGATCAAGTGCCAATATATCTAGAAAGAGAGTTAAATTTAATTAGGGTAGAATAGTAGAACGATATCTAGATAATTTAGATTTCGCCGGAACATATATGATGTGAGAAATAATTTATTAATAATTTATACAGTAACATTGCTAAGAAGAAAGATATAATTTCTAAACCTGATGTGAGAGAACATGACTTTAGAAATGCAAGCAAATCCTTGGATAATTTAAAATCCTCGTTTGGAGAATTAGTTATAGCAGCTAAGCAGATTAGACCAAAAGGTATAGAAGGTTTTATTAATCCAAGAATTAATAATATTGCTGTAATAATTACAAGGAGGCCATTTGATCGAGATAATAGGGCTTTTATAGAAATTGCCGTGCGAAATGGTGCGGTTGTATATTTTGGCGATTACAATCCTCCAAGACATACAAAAAGGGGTATAGGCACGAGCAAAATGAGTTTAATGCTATTGTCTGCAGAAGAAATACATAATGAAGTCGATCACTTTAGTTGTTCAGCGGGCTTTTGGGCAAGAAGTAAAAATAAAAGTCAAATATTACTTGTAACGGCTGGACATTGTAATGGAAACCGTACTACTAGATCTAAGAAAAAATTTTTTACCTTGGAATATCCAGATCCAAATTCAAATCCCAATATAGGTAAATTAATTTGTAAATTGGTATATTATTCTGAAGCTCCACACGACTTTGGTTTAATTGATATAAAGAGGATAAGTAAATCTCTTCGACCATCAACGAATATAAGGAATAAACATGCTTCATTTGCTGAATTAATTGTCACTGATGGTGCACCTGTATCTAGTCATGGCGCGCATTTATGCAAGGCTAGTCACAAATCATCAGTCTCTTGTGGCCAAATAGATGGGTATAATGCGATTTATGTAGATTTAGATGGAGAATATTTGTCGGATATGATCTTTGTAGATAATATATTAGCCTTCAGTGGTGATAGTGGAAGCCCTGTATTTTGTTTTTCAAAATTTTCGGATTTGAGATTGGTAACTATAAATGGCATATTAGTAGCAACTAGCGGTAATATTACTTATCCTTTTGCTATGATGCTACCTCGAAAAATAATCCTTAATAATGCTAATTTAGAAATTATTACTGGATTTTAAGCTATACATTTTCCAAAAATTTTAATATTTAACTAGCATCAACATTTGCGTTGACAATTCATAAAGATTTTCACTTTCTAAAACTATCATTATAAGAATAGCTGCGCAGCATTGATCTTGCACAAGATCAGTATGATCACACGTATAAAAATAAATTCCAATTATCGTGCTCAAATAGCTTATTTAGATATATAAATTATCCCTTAAACCGTCTAGCGTACAAATTTAGACGCTAAAATGGTTATTAATCTATTTTTGTACATTAAATTTTATTAAGCCGTACCACCTATTCTCTAAGCTAAAATAAAAATACACCACATTATAATTATCATTTTATAGAATTTTTTGTCAATACACCGAAAATCAATTATTTAGTATCTGATCTCATGTCAAAATTTAATGCTAAAAAAGGAACTTGCATGTGATACTTATAAAGATTTTTCAAAAATCATTATATAGAGCCCCTTTATAATATAAAATTTAAAGTTGATCAAAATTTTTAAGATTAACTGTATATAATTAATTTTTAAAGCTTTGTTAAAGAGATAGGATGGTTTAAAATTATAGACAAGATGATTTATTTTTAGCTATTATATGAACTTGTACTTTCTGTTTAGATCACACAAAAAAGTTTGTGCTGTAACTCATAGAAAGATTTTTATATCATTAGCTATTTAAATTAAATTAATTTTATATTATTTATGCAGTTTAAAATACTTTTTTTTCAAAAAAAAATTAAATTACAAAAAATAAAAAAAGTATACATAAAATTTTATTAAGATCATAGAACTTTACTGTCAAAAATAATCAAAATTCCTTTTTATTTTAAAGAAATTAGAATACACTAACCCTCATGACTATTCCTACGTTTTCATGATTATTTTGACAGTATGTAGAGCGAAAGGTGTAGTTTCTGAATATGTATTCGGTTCTCCAGAATAATTTGTTTTCATAGCAGCCAATTCGTTTAAAGTCAGATGATATATGCGGTGTATATATGACGATCATTTTTGTAATTGACCAATTGGATCCAAGCATCATAGGCAGAAGTTTGTCTGATTGGCTAATAACTTCAATTTAATTTTTACAGTTTTGAGTAATTTTTTAAAAAAAAAACTAATCATAAATGAAATAAAAAAACTGTATAGAAGGTTTAATTAGAGCTGTAGGACTCCATAGTCAAAAATAAGATCTAATTCTCGTCCGTTTAAAAAAGTTATTATAGTAATGACTTCTCAAAACCCGATAAAATCAACTTACTTCTAAACTAATTTTTTTAAACGGATGAGAATTAGATCTTATTTTTGACTATGGAGTCCTACAGCTCTAATGAAACATTCTATATAGTTTTTTTATTTGATTATGGTTGGTTTTCATTTTTTAAAAGTACTCTAAACTGAATAAATTATGTAAAATTAAATTGAATTTATTAGCCAATCAGACGAACTTCTGTCTATGAGCTTCTATCATAGCAAATCACGAAATCCACACATCCCTGGTGTCACCTGGATAGTCCGGACAATTACTCTGTAAAGTTTTTTATATCTTAACCTAACCTGCACTAACATTAAAAGAAACCAATTTTTTTAACAAACAAATAATCAATAATTATGCGATGAACGTGAATTAATATTTGAATATCAATATCATGCTTGCAGTTGTACTACAAGAGCCCAAAGTTAACATTACTAAATAACAAGGTGCTAGATATATTCTAAGCGAGTTATATTATAAATATAGTAATATTGTTTAGTTTTAAATTTATTTTATATTTAATATCTAGGTATTTGCAATGCACATTAGATTTACAAATATTTATTATAGATTTAAATTTTATTGTTATTTTATTAATTTAAAAATAAGATAAAGATATTTATTTATAATATAAAAATCAGAAATTATTAGGCGGTGGCGACTTAGTGAAGTGGTTAAGTTATCGCACCCCCATGCGATATATTGGCTAGGTAGAGGTTCAAAACCCACTGGTGACAAATTTCAAATATTCTATTTGTATGATGGCTACTGTCTTTCAACGATCAGTTGGAATAGAATCTCTGTAATCTAGGTAGCACCAACAAGATTGGGAGATCATGGGGCATTCGTGCAATGTATGAGTTATATGAATATGTTTTCAGATTGTATTAATTCGAGGAACCAAAAAGATAGATGCCCATTTGGCAAGACTTGAGTGAGAGGTAATACAGATCTTTGACAGTACTATATAAAAGATTATTACCAGAGAATCAGCAAAAACTGAACAAAACTGGTGTATAGCAAGGTATTCCACCAACTAGGCTGCCAGAACTGGAGAAAAAGAACCTGCTTAGTTGCAGATACCAGGGAAAAAATACATTCTGAGCCATCTGGATTAGTAGTTTAAGATAGTTGGAGATATGGTTGATAGTCTGTAAAATGTGTACTGGGATTTGGGTGAACCCTACAAGGGGGTAGTAGGTAACAATAGTAGCTTTGGCTCACAAGTGCTTGTTCTCTGACTTGGCATAAGTTACTGAATCTAGGTGAATCTGAATTGTGGGGTCGAACCACTTTAGTGTCAATTCCTTGAGGATAAAGTAGTCTTAAGAAAATGAATAAAGTATCTGGAACTTCTTGACTAACAATTGTAACAAAGATATACTGATAATACAGGTTTAGTTACATTACAGAGGGGTTAAATGGGTAACACCTGTAGTTGGGTTACAGATATGGCATATAGTGTAAAACCTGTATGATGTACAGGTAGACTACTTAAATTAGACACCAAAAATGTACGTGTAGCTAGTATATGCTCTCTAATGTAGGAGTTCCTTAGAGAGTCCTTTGCTATATATACCTGAATAAAAATCCTAACTCCCAAGAGGGTAGACATTAAAAAAAAAAATAATAAATCAGAAATTATGATATAGTTTTGAATATGTTAAAAGTAGTTACTTGTTGATATAGTTTTACTGTAGATATAGATATGTTAGTAGTTATGTTAAAAGTATTTTCATGCTAAAATATATTAGATGCAGTTTTGATAGTTTTTGCTAATACAGTTAAATATTAGAAGCAGTTTTTTGCTATCACAGTTATAGATATATTAGTAGTTTTTTGCTATCACAGTTAAAGATATGTCAGAAGCTGACATAGTATTAGATATGCTAGAAGTAGTTTTTTGTTAATGTGATTTGGATATTTTTGCTAAAACAGTTTTAAATATATTAGAAGTAGTTTCTTGCTAATGCAGCACAGGCAGGTCAAAATAAAGCATATCAAGTTTATATTGGCATTATTTAACTTAATATGAACTGATATTAAACAGAAAGTTGGCTGAATTGGACATCTAAGAAAACCAATCAGGGTTATATCAGTCTAAATACATTGAATATATTAGAAATATCAATAGAGCTATCAGATTCATTATCAATAGCTTTATTGATATTTATGCCGATATAACTCTAATTGGTCTCCTATAGGTGCCCGATTCAAGCCAAATTTCTGTTTAATATCAGGTTCATATTGGGATTAAATAATGCTGATATGAACTTGATATGCTTTATTTTGACCTGTGCAGTATTAAATAAGTTAGAAATAGTGTCTTGCTATTATAGTTATAGATATGTTATAAGTAGTTTCTTACTAATGATATTTGATATGTTAAAAGGTTTTTTGCTAACACAGTTTTAGATAAGTTGCTAACAGTTCTAGATATGCAGAAGCAGTTTTTTGCTAACACAGATTTGGATATTTTAAAGTAGTCTATTCTAGTAATATTGCTTAGAGAAGCATAACTTAGTTATAGGAGGTTGTGCCTATTATAATAGCAAAAAAATTTTTGTATGTTTTCTAGTTGTATTTTTAATAGCTATCTAATCGAGTAATAATAATAAATAATAATGTATTGGGATTATGAGATTAATTTATATTTAGTAAAATGATAAAAATTGCATAATAGTTAAATAAATGCGTAATGTTATTGTAATCATACGAATAATTATTAAAAGAGAAACCAGGTTTCAGAAAATACAAAACCAAATGCATTTTCTCTAATTTTTTAATAGTAACTAGTTTATGGAATGGAATTCGCTTAATCATATATTGCTATAAGTTGAAACTCACAAAATTAGAGCTTCAAATATAGCACAACACAGTTGTGCAGCTATCTTGTTTGGTTATTTTTTATTTGAAAAAAAGTTCATTAAATTTATTTCAAGAAGGTAAGCGGCTTACTGATTGCATAATCACAAATAAAAAAAAGTTTAGTATATGATATATAAAAACCTAAGAAAAAAATATATAAATATGACCCAAAAAAATTCTTGGGGAATGTTCATACATTAATATAAAATTATTTCATAGTGATCATTCCCTTTTTAACTAAAAAGGAAATGGCAGTTCACGAGTTGTTTTTAAACCATTTAAAAAATTCGCACATGGACAAACATAACCAAAAAAAATAGTAGTGATCACGTCAAATAATCTTATAGTGGGTTAATGCATTCGAAAAGATCTGGTTTCAGGTGCTAATTTTAGTTAGTGCAACTTAAGTAGATATTAACTCCAAGCACGACAGTATTGCCCAAATGGACAAAATTAAAGCCATAACTTTAAATAGTTCATTTATTAAGTAATTTTTTGAATTTAAAGCAATCATCCAGAATATCACATGATATCACAGTATACAACCTTGTACGTACAATTTTCGATATATTTTTATAAGTGACACCACTAAATTTTTTTCTGTTTAATACTAAGATTGTTGCTAATATATATTGTAAAGCGAAAATCCCGAAGATTTATTTCTTCTGATAATATTTAAGTGACGTAAAAAAATAAATAAAAAAATTAAAATAAAGGTAAACCGAAAAAGAAATAACAAACATATTAAATATGTATATAAAAAGAAAACAAAAAATTCAATGGCAATATGGCGTTTTTCCCTTAAAAATAACCTTATTATCTAGAAGTAACTACACCTGATCCACAAGCAGCAATAGTTTGTTTGTCGCTTTTCGTAATTGTAATAATTATATTGTATAATCTTGGTAAACTTGTGAGTTTCACTGGCATTGTCACAGATGCAGAAACTGCGTCATTAGCTTTAACGTTTGAATTAAGAGGAAATGATTGACTTAGGAAGATACTTCTTTCAAAAAAATCCACATTAATAAAACCACCACTACCAACATCAGACTTTACTTTCGCAAAAATTTCAAAGTAACTTTCCCAGGAACGGCAGGATCTGGTGTCATCCTTGCGTTGAAAAAGGGGGAGCCATCACAGCTTGAAAATTCAGTTGCATTGACAGTGAAAAGTGCAGTCAATAAAGCAAATACGAAAATAAAATTTTGATTTATCATTTATTTTGAAATGTTTTAGCAGGGCAATTGATATGTTTTTCTATTAAGGAATTGGTTTCAAAGTTATTCCCTTTTTATAAATTTTCAAGCATAATATATATTGTACAAGTTTATTTAAATTTTTGATGAAAAATATTATAGGTATGGCTACTCTAAATTTTATTAATTATTAGTGGTTTCATCTATATCAATTTTGTTTCTAAATTTAGAATTCGCAAAGTATTCTCTCGCCTTATTGATCTATGATAAACTTTTCGACACCAAAACGACGTATATGACATTTCATAGACAAAAGTTTGATTGGCTAATGTAAATAAATTGCCAAAGTAACTTTTTAAAGTACTTTTTATAAACTTGACATTTAACAAATAAAAATCGTCGCAAAAGTCATCTACGGCCTTAACTGAAGAGGTTTAGCTAGAAGATGAAATATGCCTACTGTTTATTTGGATTATACTGTAGAATGATGTTATTGGAAGGATTTTTATCTGTAGTATGATATAATTGAAACATTTTTATCTGTAGAATGATGTAACTGAAACATTTTTATCTGTAGAATGATTTAACTGGAAGTATTTTATTTAAAACTGCCTTATTACGCTAGATTTAAATAAGATTTGTTACTATTTTAATTTGAATAGGAAAAGTTTTTAAAGGAAGTTCAGATTTAATACTTGATTATGTTTGGTTCTTGCAACAAATTTGGGTCTGTCAATCATAATAAGTTATTAATTTATAATAAGTTTGGGCTTATTGTTTGAGCTTATTCATTTGCTGGAGCGGAGAAGAGCAAAATGGAAAATCGTAGAACTTTACTCTTAAGAATTCTCCTAAGAATTTAGATGATATCCGGCTTTCGTCCCTGCAATTATGATACATTTCAGGCTACCAGCAATTCACCCATTGAAAGTGCATCACAGTAAACTGATCAAAATTGGAAGAAAATATTCTATGATCTATTTTTTTCTGTTTCGCACTTCTTATTTGTATTTCTTAT